TTCGGCCCCCATGTGCCGAATAGTCGGTTCGAAGGAAATATATCGACCGTTCAAAGCGGTGTTAGAGCACCACGCACACAGTTCTCGAGCAACAATTTATTTGCACAATAAACAGAATAATTACGCGAGCCAAATCGGAATTATCGAAACAAATAAAGTAAGAAAGAAACTGTCCAGTAGAGGAGGTAGGAAGGAGTTCGGGCGGGACGTTCTATCCTCGACAAGGCCGTCATCGTCCTTAAGTACCTTTATAATTCCCGCCTAGATCACCCCGGCACTTCGTAGGTCGCTGCAATGATCTTGATTCGGCCCACAGGTGGAATTAGTGGGAAAGTGGAAACGCATTTAGTGGAAAAGCAAAACGAGCGCACGCATCGGAATCGATACTCGATGTCATGCATACCAGTCCACCACACTTACAGGTAGGCCACTGTTGCACAGGTACGGCTTTTGCTCGGCTCGGTGATCCGTTCAGTGCAATTGTATAATACAGGGAGGAACTGGTCCCGTAACTTTGTTACCAGAATCGTTTACCAGATTTGGAACACCGATATGAGTCAGCGTTCGAAAACCACCTGCGACGGTATCCATCTCATCTTGAATGGCCACTGCGACCAAGTATCCTTCCCTCTAAGAAATTGTCGAAAAAACTTTAGTTTTTTAGAAGTCTATCAAGTAATTCTGCTTACCGCTATCAATTAGTAGCCTGATTTTTGCAGCTATAATTAGTACAGGAGATGTTTATATCAAATGCTGGTGCGTTTATACTGTTGACGCGATGCATAGTGAATAGTTCACGTAAATTCACCATGTATCAATATAGATCGCGATTTCTGCGCAACAATTTTTTGCTACCATCTTTATGGCGCGTCGTGTAGTTAGGCCGACTTTAGAATTGGGATCTGGCTGCCTTAGAAGCTCTATTAGTACTGCATTGTAATCCATAGTCTCGGTTTCGTCATAGAATGGGTAAGAAGTTTTCACGCTTTTTTATATTCATATGTTCGGCCTTTTGCAGATCGCGGCCACTTATGGAAATACGATCAAGATATTTGAACCAATAAGCAACGCTCATGAAAAAAAAAAACCGGTTGGGTCTTGGAGCAATCATTGCTCATACCCGAGTATCGGAAATGAATTTTTGTTGTTTTTGAAGGTTCTGAATTGCCGATGGATCGAAACACAATGCTTTACCGTGAAAGAGAGAGTAAAGTCTGTTCTCTGGAACATGGATGGTGAGAAAGTATACATTGGTTTGATTCTTCTTGAATTCTTCGTTTTCCACTCGAATCTGCTGTTTAGGCCTTCGCATGACCGTAGTAGTTGGCGATGAGTTATTCCTCTACCAGCATCGAAGCTTAAGCTCCGTTGTTCCATTTGGCTCGACCGCCCCAGTCACGTTCTGTGTATCCGAAGAGGTAAACTCATATGGTTTGTCTTCACTTGCGTCGAGACGCAAATTCTTTTGTTAGGATCATGCTCACGACGCTAATATATGGCATATTATTTGGTCAGTACAACTGGGTCAACACCCAAGGTACATAAAATTTTCTCCTGATGGTACATTCCTCGCTATCTCTGGCGAACATGACAAATCAGTGAAGATAATCTATCAGGATTTATTTGGTATGTTGTGGTGTAAATTTGCTTCATCTGTTTCTGGATACAGTTCTAGTTCACTCCACTTGTTCTGTCTGCATTGTTCTTTCGTTTTTTTATTTTATGTTTTTCAAGAACAGGGAAAAGAACATCTCAGCTTTGGTTTCTTCATTCTTGATCATCCAGCACCCGTTCGAGGATTCGAGTGGAGGCGGACTGGAAGATATATGCCGCGGTTGGTCCACCAATTTCAACTTGTGCCCATTATATTTATGTTTTTAGAAAATGTATGCAAGCGATCTTAATTACTTGGTGTGAGGACAATACTTCTCGAATATGGAAGGAAACACCGTTTCAGGAGTCAGCAATAGGTGATCTTTGTGGTGACGAAGGTTTGTTGCTCTAAGTGGTTTGTGTTTGCGTAAATAACACTTCGGATTCTCCTTTTTCTTTGAAAGCTCTACACCCTCAGTATTAGCTCCGAGGCGATTTTTTCTGTAAGCCATCTTCGCTGTGTCCAAATAGAACATCGCATAACATCACAAATGCAATTACTCAGAGAAAAAAGTATTCAGATACTTCATCGCGGCTGAGTCTACTATATTAGCTACCATCAATGTTCCCAGCCGACTCCTTGCGTCCTCGAGTTTCAACGGTCTGGGTCCGAATCAATAGTATTTATTCACGCCCAGCCTTTTAGGGCGGAGTTTCGCCTTGCAACCTTCCATCGATGTTCCTATCCTGCCTCCTGTATTCTTTCAAGTTTGGTCGCTCTAGGTCCATTTTGACATTTCTCTGCAAGCCCCGCCCCTGAAGGAGTTATGAATTTCTAGCCAAACTGTGGGCGGAGTCCGGTCCTGCCACCCACCATGAGTTCTCTTATCCTGCCTCCTGTGCTCATGCCAAATTTGAACTTCCAAGGTCCACAGGAACAGGAGCTATGAATTTCTGCCCAAACCCCGCCCATTGTGGGCGGAGCTCAATCCTGCTACCCATTATAAGCGTGCCCATCCTATCTTGGGTAATCTTACCAAAGTTGGACGCTCTAGGTCCACGGGAACTGCAGCTACGGTTTTTCGCACAAACCCCGCCCCCCACGCGTGGAGTCCGGCTCCGCCACCCAACATAAGTGTTCCCATGCTGCAGCCTGTACTCCTACCAAGTTTGAGCGCTATATGTCCAAGTTTAAGTTTTTCACGCAAACCCCGCCCCTTGTGGGCGGAGTCCGGTCCTGCTACCAACCATGAGTGCTCTTATCCTGTCTCCTGTGCTCATGCCAAATTTGAACTTCCAAGGTTCACAGG